AGCCAGCAGTAGAAATGCAAATCGGCAGACTTGTTGTTATTGTCGACTCAAATCAACCACCCACACAATGGAAGATGGGCCGCATACATGAACTTCACCCAGGCAACGATGGAGTCACTCGCTTCGTTACAGTACGGACATCAACCGGTTCGATGAAACGTTAGGTAGCAAAATTGTGTTTACTACCGTCACCAGATCAAAACCAATCCTCAGATCAAAATTGAGTTTCTCGTTGAAGAATGTGGGAAGAAGGATTGGCAAATCAAAGTTGGCACGCGTGGAGAATAGAAGAACTATGAAAGTGATGATGGTTTCAAAATTTTCCACGGGGAACTATACGAGTGCAATCTTAAAATGCTTTTATTTTGTGAATGGAGCTTTTTATTTAAATCTGGTAAGTGCTACGTTAGTAGAAAACATCAGGACTACTCAATTGACATATAATACAGAAAACTTAATTTCTTTTCAGATTTTTAGGTGTAAACATAGACTTCCGCTTTTCTACCACTGTAGCAGTAACCAGATTTAAATAAAATGCTCCATTTTCAAAATAAAAGCATTTTAAGATTGCACTCGTATACTTCCCCGTGCAAAATTTTGAAACCATCATCACTTTCATAGTTCTTCTATTCTCCACGAGTGCCAACTTTGATTTGCCAATTAGGAGATAGAAATGTAAATATAGGAAATAAGTTAGTCAAGTACACCGTCGCGAGCAGGGCTGAAAAAATCACTAAAATTCATCATTTTGTTTAGTTATTAGTAAGAATAAATGTAGTGAAATCCGTTCGCACTGCCTCGTTGTCACAACCATAGCTAATTAAAAGGAAGGAATTTTGTTGTGTTTTATAATTTTTTTTATTGTGAAAATAATTTAACTACCTCTTCTCCCGTAGGCCCAAAACCTCTATGTCTTTTCAACTTGAATCATAATCAATTAAAGAAAACTTAAGTCCTTGTGATGTATGCAAATTATACGAAATTTAAAGTGTGTGTGTTTTTAGTAAGGTTTAGGAAAGCTTCAAGAAGCCTGGCATGTAGTGAAGTTGGCACGGTGTGGTATCCACTAGTTGCCTAGTGAAGCTCCACTAAAACCCATTCCTTACTCTCTTCTCTGCCTGGATCCCCTCGGGACCACTGTGAAGCGACTACTTCGGGGGGTGGCTGTGCTCATGCACTTGTCGTACTCTCAGCGCTAGCTGGCGTTGCTAGATCGCTGCTCTTCTCTCCATTTACGCTGCAGCTCTGACATACTCTGCGTGACTGCCCTGCTGATGGCATTCCAAGAGTCCTCCTCTCGACACATTTCATCAACGACATTCTCCACGTTAAGGACGGGCATCTCCATTCGCACTGCCTCGAACCTTGGACAGTCAAAGACCACATGCTCCGGCGTTTCATCGACGTTGCCACACTCCGGACAGAGGGGTGACGCTGCGTGTCCGAACCGATGCAGGTATTTCCTGAAGCAGCCGTGGCCAGACAGGAACTGCATTAGATGGAAGTTGACTTCTCCGTGTTTTCTGTTCACCCAGGTCGAAAGAATCGGTATTAGTCTATGTGTCCATCTACCGTTCTCCATCGTGTTCCACTCCTGTTGCCACTTAGCCAATGACTCCACCCTCACAACTATCCGTACTCTTCCGGATTCTCTCCGCCTGTAGCACTTGCTGTCCTCCGCCAGGGTGATGCCGATAGGGGTCATACCGGCGATAACACAGACTGCTTCCGACGAGATGGTTCTGTACGCACTCACGACTCGCATGGCCATTAGACTGATGCAAAATTTGAAATTTTCACTACACAGTGCTCAAACGGTTCCAAATTGGGCCCTGATTAGCCTCCCAAAATTTGAACTCATTTAGTGAGAAACTGACTTGGCACAAATCATTTGAAGTTTATATGGGAATTAATATGGAGAAACCATAATTTCGGTTCATATCTATCTCAAAATTCACCATTTTACTCTACTTAATGATTCAAGTCCCTGATGTCTTATGATTATGCTCATTCAACTGTTCAGCAGGCAACATTGGTGTGTATGGCGCGTGGAATAGAGGACAAAAACCATGGCTACTATGTCACACCGCAGAATACAGCGTTTCCCACAATACAGTTGCTTAATATTGCCATAAGATTATCAATATCTTAAACAATTAATAACTATTTAATTTGACGTTTGGCAGAAAAACAATTTTCTGCAAAGTTGTAGCTGATAAACATTCCCATAAGAATAACAATAGAATTTGTTAACAGTACAATATGTAAAAGGTTAAAAGACAATTAACAAAAAGTTTTGTTTTCCCATAGTAATTTCCATATAAACTTCAAATGGTTTGTGCCAAGTCAGCTTCTTATCAAATGAGTTTAAACTTTTGGAGACTAATCAGGACCCGATTTGAAACCGTTTGAACACCGTGGAGTGAAAATTTCAAATTTTACATCAGTCTAAAGGCCATGAGCCGGAACGTACTGCTCAGTTTTCTTTGGTTCTGCTTCGTTTCAACGCTGGAACCCAGGCTGGACCTCCATACTTCAGTATCGATGACGACATACTGCCCAGAAGACGCCTCTTGCTACTGCTGGGATCAGCGTTGTTCGGCATGATTCTAGCTATCGCGTTGATGGCCTTCGAAGCCTTCTCACAGGCATATTCGACGTGACTGTTCAAGTCTAGCCGGTCATCGATCATCACTCCCATGTATTTTAACACACGCTTCGAGGCTATGGCGTGCTCCCTGACGGTAATTTCTGCTCGCTGTACCGCTTTACAGTTACTGATCAACATCACTTCCGTTTTGTGGTGGGTTATTTTCAGCTTCGCTCCTTGCATCCAGTTACCAATCGTATCTATCGCCTCGGCCGCCAGCATTTCCACTTCTTCCAGCGTCTCACCTGTTACCGTCCGCAAAGCCAACGATCTCAACTCCTTTGGGCAGCTTGAGCTTCAGCACGCCATTGTACATTCCATTCCACAGCGTGGGACCTAGAATGGAGCCTTGTGGAACTCCCGCCGTGATTCTAAGCGATTTCTGCCCCGTGTCTGTCGCGTAGACCAGGACCCGGTTCTGGAAGTAACTACTTAGAATCCTGCAGAGGTAGTCTGGAACCCTCATTCTATGGAGCGCCTTGGCGATGGCCTCCCAGCTGGCGCTATTGAATGCATTCTTCACATCAATCGTTATCACGGCGCAGTATCGATTTCCTCTCCGCTTCTGTTTGGAAGCTTTCTCGGCTCTGTTAATCACTGTCCAAATTGCATCCACCGTCGATCTCCCTTTCCTTAGGATTATCCTCTCCAAGAGCTTTCCGACAGTATCCAGCAAGCATATTGGCCTATACGATGCAGGATCTCCCGGTGGTTTTCCGGGCTTTGGGAACAGCACAAGCTTTTGTACCTTCCACCTATCAGGGAACTGACCCTCGTCCAGACATTTCTGCTGCACTATCCTGAACATGTCCGGGAACGTCTGGATCGCCGCCTTCAACGCCACGTTGGGAATTCCATCCGGGGCGGGAGCTTTATTCGCCTTCAACCCTTTCGCTGCTGCTAGGAGTTCCTCGTTGGAGATTTGTTCAACGTTGCCTCCATCTTCCTCGCCATATGGTGTAGGTGGCCAGGTCGTTGGGTCATGCTGTGGGAAAATTCCCTCCACGATGACTTTCAGCTTGTTGGGACACATTTCAACCGGCATCGTTGGACCTCTGATCCTCGGCATCGCGACTCGGTATGCGTTGCCCTAGGGGTTGGTATCGGCATCGCTGCACAGCTCCTTGAAGCTGTTTGACTTGCTCAGCTTTATCTTTCTTTTAAGTGCAGCCACGGCCTGTCGGAACACCACCCTGTGCTTCTCTCTGTCTGCTTCCGTTCTTGCTTTCTGAAAGCGCCTTCTGTTTAGAAGACAAGTAGCACGGAGGGTGCTAATTTCCTCGTTCCACCAGTAAGCTGGACGCCGCCTGCTCGTTGGTTCCAGTTTTTTCGGTCAACTCGTTCGCGCTTAGACCCGGGATGCTGCTGTCTACCCCTAGAGCTTCGATGAAGAGATCATTATTGAATGCCTTCGTCTTCCACTTCCGCTCGCTTACTTTTGTCCTCCGCATTTCCACCGGTGTACGTTTGCCGATACTGTACCGGATCGCCTGATGGTCTCTATGGGTGTACTCTTTGCATGTGAAGCATCGTTCTATTCCAAATTATCTTTGAAAACGTTTACTAGAAGCTTCAGTTGAATTTTTATCCGGCATCAAAATTGGAACAACTTTTGCATTTTTCCATTTATCAGGAAAGTATGCCAAATGGTAACATCTGTTAAATAATTTTACCAAGAAATACAAGGTACTCTCTGTGAGTTTTCTGATGATGATATAGAAAATTCCATCATCACCTGGAGCTTTCATATTTTAAAACTTTTTAGTTATAGATCTTACTTCGTCCAAATCAGTCCCCCAAGAATCATCAAAAATATTGGAATTCTCGAATTGCTTAGCAAGTTTCTGAGCTTTTTTCTGAATTTGTGATCAAAATCTTCCAACCTTTTTAAGCGCTTACGTTGGATTTTTGTGTGAAGTCAGTATCAACGGAAAAGCATTAGCTTTCACCTCAAGGTGCTATAGAAGGCTCTTTGGATGAATAATTTAATTAGGATATTATACAATGCCTTGTTGAGTCTGTAGATCACCAAGATCTTAACCTCCGGAAGATTCAGAGATGCAATGACATATTTGAACACAACTACTGTAAACAGTTCAGTTGCTGTGTTCAGGTATATAATCATTCCATGGAAATTATCTGCATTTGCCTTGGAGGATTCCAAAACTTACATCTAATAAACATGCGTTTTATTTTCCACACATTGGAAATCAACTCCAATTTCCTTCCGAGTTTAGTAGTCATTATTCTTCAGGACTTGTCTTAGAAATTTCCACCGAACACTGAAATTGAACAACTTCGCATTTACCGCACCAATTAATTGAAATTTCCTCTCCTCCCCCTCTTCCAGGTTGGTACACCACGGACAAGCACAAGGAGGACGTGCGCAAGAACCCAGACAGCTGTTTGTTCATCGTGAACAAACCGTACGCCGTCATCTCCAGTTCCATCTCGTTCTTCATCCCCTGCACGATCATGGTGTTCACCTACTTCCAGATATTCCGCGAGGCCAACCGACAGGAGAAGCAATTGGCCATGCGCCAAGGTACTGCCATGCTGATGCATCAGCACAATGCGGGTGGGGGGAGAGGCCCCGGAGGTGGTGGCAGCGGCGGCGGAGGGACAAACGGGGAAGCCCTGAGCGGATCCGGCTCGTCCCGGACGCTCACCATGCACGAGGTGGACGCCGAACAGACGCCCACCAAGGATCGACATCTGATCAAAATGAAACGAGAACATAAGGCTGCACGGACGCTCGGAATCATCATGGGGACATTCATCCTCTGCTGGCTTCCGTTTTTTCTATGGTTGCATTCTAATTGAATAGCGATTCAAGTCTCAACGTTTCTAAGCCTGTTCTTGTTCCATTTTAGGTACATCATCACGTCGCTCTGCGACCAGTGTCCCAATCCGGACATCGTGGTGGTCCTAGTCTTCTGGATCGGCTACTTCAACTCGACGTTGAACCCGCTGATCTACGCTTACTTCAATCGGGACTTTCGGGAAGCATTCCGAAACACGCTGGACTGTATATTCTGCGCCTGGTGGCGCCGGGAAACGTCCCCGCTGGACATCAACGTGCGGAGGTCCAGCCTGCGGTACGACTGCCGGGCGAGAAGCGTCTACTCGGAGAACTACCTGCGGTCGACGACGCAAAACGACCGGCTCAGTAGCGAGATCGGCGAGAGTCTCTAATGTCTTCTTCCCGCATCGGCCGGAACGTCTCGGGACACAATCGGAACGACGCCCACCACCACCACCACCAGCCATCAGCATCATCAGCACAGACATCATCATGACGAGTGCAGTGCGGTCTGAGAGACGGCGATCCGTGTCGGTGAGCGAAGGCTGTAATATACCAAAAACTAGATCAAGACGAAGTTAGGTTTAAGGTTATTTATTTTCGAAGAGTCTAACGTCTAGGAGGTTCGAATGAGGTGCGCAGACAGTGTGGCCAGTTTTGTGGATGGGGGGAATGAAGCAGCCCTGAACCCCATCATGGTGTGAAAGGGTGTAATGAAGAGTGTTCGTGGAATTTCAAACACACCGGTAGTGATATCCGTAGGAAACGTAGTAGGTATATATATATATAGATATATTTAAATCGAGACATTCAAGCATGAATCAAGAAAAACGTACTTCAGCTCGAAGAAACAGATATGGATTAATTTTACTCAGCTGGTAGCACAGGGGCAGATTGAGAGGGGTGAATAAACAGATTAAATTCAATATTCATGCTTCCGGGTTTATAAATAGGAAATCGATTCGAAATGGATTCAGATTTTGCCAATGCGTTTGTGGGAAAAAAAATAGACTCAGTTGTTTCGTTTGTTCAGACGCACCATAAGCTGAAACTGGTTTTTTATTTACTTTCTCAGATTTTCTTCGCATCGAACGAAGATGAAGCAAAGAACGTTCAGAAGTTACATATGATTGTCTTTCGGTATCTCGGATAAGAGACGATTGAAAAGTAGATCTCCAGCTGTTTTGTAGTGTTAAGTTTTTCTGTTCTTTTAATTTTTGAATTTTAAACGAGATTATTGCGGGAAAAACAACCAAGCAAGTGGAGTACGAGAACATACTTATGCATGAAGTGAGCATAGATTAGGATGATACATCAATTGAATTCTGGTGGTTTTGGATAATTATGCCAAAGTCAGCATCTTTTTGGATGGTCAGTTCTTAAGAGATTCCAAAATGGATAGGAAATTGGGGTGCCTAACGAGCAGTCATGTCTGCTCCGTTAGGATCTAGGCCCATTTCTGATTGTTTTGAAGAGTAATATAATATAAATTGTCAGTTTTAGAATCACCAATCAAATCTGGAGAGGGCCAGGATCATTTGCCAATGGTTCTTAGATCTCCAAAGTGCCACGCAGTTAAAGAGTTCAGAACTAGTCTGTCCATCAACCACTAGACCATGACCACTTGAACATTTTTTTCAAAGATAGCAGCTTCGTTGATGGCCAAGATCTTGAGATATACCACGCCTAGGAAAACCATTATCGCGTAGTGAGAGCATTTTCAACTGAAGATTCGAGGAACACAGGAAAGTCCAGAACTTTGGGGAAGTTTAAAAAGTTATAAAGGAATGTTCCATAAACTTCAGGATAATTCCATGAACTTCATGAGGAGTTGGTGAACTAAGATGAAGATCAGAGAACTTCATGAGAGTTCCACTAACTTCAACGTTTCAAGAACTTTGAATACAGCTTCAAGAAACTCCAGAAAATAATTGTGAATGTTTTAGGGAAATTTAAAAAAATCAGGAAAGTTTTGAGATTTTTTTTATTTTAAAGAAGTTTTAAAAACTTCAAGGAAGTTTGGAGAACCGTAGAAAATCTCAGATGTTTGGAGAAGTTTAAAGAGCTGTAATGAAAAATTAAGCACTTTAGGATAATTCCGTGAACTTCGAGAAAAGTTGGTGAAGATAAATGAAGATTAGAGAACTTCGGGGCAATCTTCATCACTTAAACAACTTTAAAAACAGCTATAAGTAACTTCAGAAAGTTATGTTTCAAAATCTTTAGGAAAGGTCACATATTTATATATATGAACTAGCAGAACGCTCATCAAAGTACATGGATGTAGGTAATCCATCTTCCTTACGTTTAGTACGAAAAAACGACCAGAAATTTTTCGGATGCACACGCAAGTTCCTTTGCGTTTGATCAATGTACCGAACATACCGAATACGATTGTACCGAGCATACTTGTTACTAGCAAGCACAAAGCGATGCTTCAACTGTTGAGACCTATTGCAACTATACTTCCGAAGCGCAGATCGTCTACGGCGCTTCAATTGGCGAAGGCTGGAGTTTGACCAAGGCGGCTTCAATGGAGGATGTTGAAGAGGCACGTTAGCTTCGATGACGGGACGTATTTGCGTGTTGAAAACACCAACGATTTCATCCAGATTCAGCTCAGAATCCAGGAATTCCCAATCGATCGAGGACAGTGCATCGTTTAGGTATCCAATGCAATTGAGGGTGATTATAGTTACCGATAAAACGGAATCGATTGATGTAATATGCTGCTGGATGAGAAATAGATCATCTCTACGATCTGGTGGCAGATAAAGCACTCCAACGCTGACGGCACACATGGGAAGCATGATTTTAACCCAAAGCTGCTCAAGAGCACTACTAATCGGAGCTGGATCAATACAATAGCACAAACTAGATGATACGGCTATCAGCACTCCGCCGCCCCGAGTTTTTCGACTATTCAATGGGCTTCGATCTGTACCGTGTATGATCCGTTAAATAATTGAGTTGATAGGATGCAATACAATAACATCATACTCTGAATCATCCGCAGCTAGAAAGAAGCAGTCGATCTTCGTCCGCAGTCCTCGTAAATTTTGGTAATAAATGCGCAAGTTCGAAGCGGTTCCAGTAGCATTTAGTCCGTCACATGGCAAAGATGCATTTTGAATGATTGTGGGTGTTGAGCTGAAAGCCAGACAATCGTCCGGAGAAGAATTACCGAAACAGCACGCATACTCGCTTACTTACCTTACCAATCAGGCTAAGGCCTTGTTGTCCTCTGCTGTCCGAAGAAGTCGTCTCCACTCTACTCGATCCATGGAGACAGTTTGCCAGCCTCGTAGTCTGCGAAGGGTCCACAGGTCGCCTTCTACTTGGTCGATCCACCTTGCCCGCTGCACGCCTCTTCTTCTTGTTCCTGTTGGGTCGCTTTCTAGAACCATTTTTTTACGACGTGCCCAGCCCACCGTAGTCGCCCAATTTTAGCAATGTGGACGATGGATGGTTCTCCCAGCAGCTGGTGCAATTCGTGGTTCATTCGCCTCCTCCACGTCATCCATCTGCACTCCACCGTAGATGGTACGCAACACCTTCCGTTCGAAAACACCAAGGGCGCGTTGGTCCTCCACGAGCATAGTCCAGGTCTCGTGGCCGTAAAGGACCATTGGTCTAATCAGCGTCTTGTAGACAGTCTACTTCGTGCGGCGGCGACTATTATTTGACCAGAGCGTCCTCCGGAGTCCAAGGTAGGCACGATTCCCTGCCATAATGCGTCTTTGAATTTCTCTGCTGGTATCATTTTCGGCGGTCACCAGTGAGCCCAAATACACGAACTCATCGACCAGCTCGATTGCGTCACCGTCAGGCTTACATTGTCTTCCCTAGAACCTCTTCCTTTCATGTATTTTGTCTTTGATGTGTTGATCGCAAGTCCAATCCGCCTAGCTTCAGTCTGATATAAGTTTCCGCCATCGTCTCAAAGTTCCGTGCCATGATGTTAATGTCATCGGCGAAGCCAAGAAGCTGAATGGACTTCCTGAAGATCGTGCCACTCGTGTCTATCCCAGTTCTTCTGATCACACCTTCTAACGCGTTGTTGAATAGAATACACGAAAGTTCATCACCTTGCCGTAACCCCCTTCGAGATTCAAAGGGACTCGAGAGTGTCCCCGATACTCGAACAACGCACATCACTCGATCCTTTGTCGCCTTGACCAATCGCGTCAGTTTCTGCCATAGCTGATCTCGATCGATTGTGTCGCATGCGGATTTGAAATCGATAAACAAATGATGTGTGGGCACGTTGTATTCGCGGCATTTCTGCAGAACCTGCCGAATCGCGAAAATTTGGTGCGCCTGGTATTGCTCCACGAACTCTCTTTCAAATGGTGACAGGCGATGGCATAGAATTTGGGAGAGTACCTTGTAGGTGGCGCTCAGCAGTGTGATCGTGCGATAGTTGCAGCAATCCGACTGGTCGCCCTTTTTGTAGATTGGGCATACGACACCTTCCATCCACTCCTTCGGTAATATCTCCCAGTGCAGAGTTTTAGCCAGTGCTTCACCACCGTATTTTAATCGCTTACTTGGTAGTTGATCTACACCAGTTTCTTTGTTGTTATTCAGCCGACCGATCTTCTCCTCAACTTCTTGAAGATCAGGGGCCGGTAGCCTGTCGTCTTCTGCGCGAGCTCCAAGGTCTGTTGCCGTGCCACCTTCGTTTTCTGCTGCATCACCGTTGAGGTGCTCGTCATAGTACTGCTTCCGCCTTTCAGTCACCTCACACTCATTCGTGAGAAGGTAACCGTCCAAGTCCTTGCACATACCGGCTTGCGGCACGTAGCCTTTGCGCGAACTATTTAACTTCTCGTAGAACTTCCGTGTGCCGTTTACGCGGTACAGAGTTTCTATCGACTCGCGATCTCGGTCTTCCGTGCTGCATTCTTCTCCTCTACCAACAGTTTGCATTTGCATTTTGGCCGTTGCAGGATGTTTGGCCCGATTTACGGTCTGTACATTGCCTCCCGCCCTACTTGAGCGTTCATGTCGCCGATGACGATTTTGACGTCCCGTTGCGAACATCCGTCGTACTTCTGCTCCAGTTGCGCATAAAACGCTTCTTTCTCGTCTTCGGGTCTCCCTTCGTGTGGGCAGTGCACGTTGATGATGCTGTAATTGAAAAAACGCATACTCGCCTGAAGAGTCAATTCGGGAGATCCTCGTCCTATCTCTGACCACAGGGTCAGAACGACTTTGATGCCAGGATGCAATAGATGCTTGGTGAGAGTTGGAAGTTGACTCCACTGGATCAGAGAGAACTACCCAACTAACAATTTTAGCTGCAGATTAGCTTATACATCCAAAAATTGGCTTATACAGCTAATTTTTGCCTGTATAAGCTAGTCTGCTGCTAAAATTGTTTGTTGGGTAGGGCTCCCATGATGCCTTGTTGCGTGCGTTCCACGGTGATGCCATCTGTCAGTTGTTGTCTTATCGAAGAGCTGGACGCTGAATTCGACTCACTAATGAGTGGCAACAACTCATTTGTAGCCGCGATCTACCGTAACGGGAAACTATGGAGGTTAAACAAATCAGGAAGAGAATTGCCCATAATGGATTAATATTTGCCTGAAGTAGAAGGTTACCATTCTCAACCACAGGGCCAGAACGACTTTGACGGCAGAGAGATTTCAAAAACTTCAAGGAAGATTCGTGGACTGCAGGACAGTCCAGAACTTTGGAGAAGTTTAAAGCAATATAAAGGAATAGTCCGTGAAATTCAGGACAGTTTCGTCAACTTCAGGAAAAGTTGGTGAACTTAGATGCAGATCAGTGAACTTCATGACAGTTCCATTAACTTCAAATTTTCAAGAACTTTATAAAAAACTTCAAGAAACTCCAGAAACTTCAGTTTAAATATCTTTTGGCAAAATAACAAATTTTCGGAAGAAATTTAAGAACTTTGTGGGAATTTTTGGTATGTCTCGGAAACGTCGGAAATTTTTTGGTATTTTTATTCAGAGAAGTTTCAAATATTTCGAGGACCACAGGCAAGCTCAGAACTTTGGAGAACTTTGGAGAAATTTAAAGAAAAGTTCCGTGAATTTTAGGATAATTAACTGAACTTCAAGACAATTTGGTGAACTTATATGAAGATCAGAGTAAAAACTTCAGTTTAAATATCTTTTGACAAGGTAACAAATCTTCGGAAAGAAATTTAAGAACTTTGGGGAATTTCCATAAACATCCGAAAAATTGTGGAAGTTTTAGGGAAGATCCGAAAACTTCAGAAATTTTTTGATCACTTGCAGGAACTTTACAGATGCTTCAAGAGCAGAGTCCAGGATACTTTAAAGAAGGAAGTTAGGAGTCCCGTCAACGTCAGGAAAATTGCAGGAAGTTCTGAAAATTGATGAACATTCCAAGAA